CATGGTTTTGATTTCATTCAAAGCAATCTCTTTTGCATATAAAATTGCTTATAAACAAAGGCATTGTAACTTCGATTTTTGATGTATTTTGTCATATTATTGAATATCAGCGTACTTTGATTAAATCATGAACAAACATTTAATATTCTTCTCTTAAAAGAGGATCTTGACGATCCAAAAAATTAGGGAGTTTCGTTATTTTAAATGATAATTTTTATTCACGCTGTACTTCCGGAAATGATTTATATCTTTTTTTAATCGCTTCCCCAAAAGTTGAGAGATTAATAATTCCCCGGAATGGAGACGATAGGAAGTTCTGTGTTACTGTTGTACACTCGATCGCCCACGTTCGTCCTTTGGCCCGGTGCGATAATGCACAAGAAACTTGGGTGCATATACAACCGCTGCGTAAACTCCATAATTTGTGACCGTAGAAATTCGCTAGAATTTATCGAACTTCACTCGGACCGTTATAATTATGCAACCCTCCCCGGTCGAAGGGAAAAAAACAAGGGCCGTCAAGGAAATTGAATTTCGACCTACTTTCTCTCCCCGATTCGCCCCCCCCCCTGATTAATTATTCATACGTTTTCACCCATTCTCGCCTCGTCAACTCGCTTGCATCACGTTTAGCTTTTAACATTAGATTCATTAAGAAAGGAGGGAATGATAAACAGATTGCTGATTAACTCCTTCGTGAGATTCAGATTTTTATATTGATTTGTATGCAAAATGAAATCTAGATTGGGAGTTTCTTTGCTTATAAAAATAATAACCTTTGAACTTTCTATTTTCTATATGAGCCTAGAATCTTATCGATGTCACCTCTCCATTGTTTTCTTGGTGTCCTAGTCCACTGATTAGTTTTATTTATGCTTGGCAATCGACAGATTTTATCATTTTTCAAAATAATCATAAAAATCCATAGGATCTACGATCGGTGGTAGTCGGTAGTAAACAGACTTAACGAAAACGAGTGTTAAAAATGGAGAAGTTATGAATAGGTATCAAGTCAGAGAGTTATTACTTAACTATCGATTTATCATGTTCCTCGGGGGAAGGAAGTTGGAACGGAATAGGGTTGTTGAGGCTTGCTCTTAATTCCGATCGGAGGCGATTAATCATCCTGCCAATTCTTTTTCCCAACAACGGTCTCTCTTGGTGTCTCTCCGAGGAATTCGTCGGCGATGCAACGCGCGCGAAGTGCGTCGACCAAAGTTTATCTACCCGCAGGCCGAATCATCAGGCCGGATTGAATCAACGAATTAAGTGTTCATTGGGCCGTTGCGTTTTCTTTGTCTACCGGTCCATTCAAATCGGTGACGAGTCCCTCTTGTCCGGCATTTTTCGTAGTGTCTCTGTACTCTTCGCGTCTTTTCTGTGTCATCCGAATGATGACACAATCTATTTTGAAATATTATTTCGGATTATTAAAAAGAAAGATAATGTTGAGTAAATGAGATGATAAAATAGAGTTTGAGTCTACATGCAAAATGCCCAGTCGATGCAACGATCAAATTTCAAGTGAAAGACATAGCTTCGAAATTTATGATACCCTCAACCATTTTGCCCATTGTCGATATTTTACGAATGTTCCTTACTTCAGTTCTTCGCCTCTCTTCCAGTTAAGTTGAAATAATATACGTCGGATTTGAAGCGTGAAGTAAAAAGTCTGAGGAAATATCTTGTACAATAGAAGAAGAGCTCGTAACGTTGCCGTTGAAACTTCGCTAATTGGAATCGATCGGGAGTAGATAGCTTTCAAATGAAGGAGTTACTTAAGCACCGGTAACTCAGCTGCCTCGATGCGGTTGTAACTCCAATCGAAATAGCAAATTTTTACCGTTTATTCAAACGTCTAATTGAAACATTAATCGACGAGTACTATCGAACGTCAAGTGAATGGGACTAGTTCAGTAGATTTTAAATGGCAATCGAGAGCGCAAGGAATATTCGCACTGCGAGGTGTATAATTTGATTCTGTCAATTCGTTTCTGGCCGTCCCGCGAAATTGAGAGATTAGACTCCTCGACAATCGTTCCTTCCTAAATCCTGTGTAACCCAGAAAAGCTCATCTTTCGATTCTTGTGGAAAAATTTATATGAAACGAGACATGGAAATTTCAATGCGATAAATGCAGACTCTATGGATTTACAGAAGAACCGAGTAGCCAGGAAATACGCATGTAATGCATAAAAATTACATGCATATCGTGGAATGCAATCGGATTTTTTACAGGAATATCACGAATGTTTTAGCTTGAATAAAACATGACGCGTTGCAATCGTAGAAAGATAGATCCCCTTCCTAATTCGTCGGATCGCGACCGATAATAATCGTCGATCCCCGTCGGACGCGTATACGGGTCCATTCTCTCTCCGCTTCGCTCGCGGAGGCGTCGCGACGATCGGACGAACGAACGTGGCGAGGAGGACCAGCAGCAACCAGACTGGGAACGTCAGAGTGCCCTACGACTGCGCCGCGCTCACATCCCTGCCTTGCCCGAGCACCCACGGGATCATAGATCGCTCGTTCACGCTCGACAATAGTGCATCGATCGTCGATGACGTCAAACGACAGAATCATCGAAACAGTGATCCAAGTGTCGCGTCGTTCGCCTCTGAAGATCCGTTCGCCGTTTAAATAATTCGCAGACCGGCTCGTCCGTCACAGCGGGATTTTATAAAATGCGCGCGCTCCGACGATAAGGATAAACGTTCATCGAGGTATCGATTGCCTCTTCGCTCGTCGTTTATGATGTCCGCAAGCCGAAGATGTTGAGAGGGTCTCAAGATAAAACGAGGATAATTGACGACGTATAACAGCTGAACATCCGTGCGACGATCCAGCGAGAACCAGAAAACGATCCAAGACCCGGAGCGATGTATTGAGCCATCGATCACTGAGGAGAGGCGCGGGGATGAGCGAGGCGTTCAATTAAACCGTTCTAGTAGCGCGACAGAGATCGAAAGAATAGGGGGAGCCGCGTGATTCGCTCGGAAAATATTAGTCGTGCAGTTGCAAATGTCGTCTTCACGTTGAACCGTCATATACCGACCGACGAATCTACCGAAAGAACCTCAAGTGTCCGATTGAATCATCGTTTCCTGGAAATTATCGATATCATTTGGAGATCGGCGCGAACGAATCTCGAAGGTTATTTCATTTAAGTGAAACCAGCTGCGTTCGTTTCGCGTTTGTTTTCGCGAATCGGGTCGAAGCTCGAAGACACTCGGAAGATATTTCGGCGGACGATCGCGATCGACGCTCTGAGAGCGTCGATGTTAGCGGCCGCCTCGAATTGACAGCCAGAGGGGAGACACGGGACTTTGGAACTTTTCCAGCGACAGATCCAGCGTGGACAATGAAGTGGTGCTTAGTGGTGCTGATTCTAGTCGGTGTCACGCGGGCCGAAAACTCCGTCGAGACGGACTATTCGATCTTCAAGTGTCCGGAGCTGAATTCCCAAGAGGAGATCGATCTGAACGCGGTGAGTCTTTCGAAACGGATTACGTAACCGCGGAATCTCGTCCTTCGATTCCCTACGATCGTACGAGACTGACCGTAGATTTTTCTCCACATACTTGCCCGAGGCTTTACCCAAAGCGTTCAAGAAAGGCAAGTGTAATATATTGTTCGTACGATGCTTCACTCAAAGTTCGTCATAGAATTTGATGTACTTTAAATTATGTCTCTCAGACATTCGAAGGCCCTATTGAAATATCATTTTTTCGTACGTATCATCTCTCTTGCATTATGCGAGTGTATTCAGTGTCTCGACGAGACAGTGGTAATTACGCGTCGTTGAATTCGCGTCACGTAAGCTGAGAAGAGCAGGATTTTTCTCTAATTACTTAAAACAATTAGTATCCGGACAGCTGGCGTATTCTAATGAGCCGAAAAGAGTTTCGCGAGAGAATTCTTCAGGTATGGTAGAAAATCTACCAAGGGGAATTGCATCTATAAATTTAATACAACCAAGAACTCGCCATATAACGCGTGAGGTGAGGCGTTCGTGCTTGAAATTCTTCAAGACGTTTAATCGACGCGCCATTAAACGTAGGGGATGAAAATTATTGATGCTCGGCAGTCGAGTTTCCTTCCGCACCCCTGAAATTGTCAAACCGTGAGGAACACGTCGATGTAAAATCCGTGGATACCCAAGCATGATTTGCGCGTTTTTTTTTTTTTTTTTCCTTATCCGAGCAGATGCGATTTATCGCGGGGCGATACAGATCTCGGCTTCGCCTCGCCTTTTCCAGATTAATGCGATTCCGATAACTGCGACGCTGGTTTGTTGCGAGATTTGAGAACCGTGACGGTCCACCGGTCACCTTTTATTTTCGATGAAAATATACCGTGGCAGCGAATGAACGAACGACAAAAAAGAAACAGAGCGAACTAATGCGAGGGGCAATAAAAAAAGAAGAGGGAGCCGGGCAGCTTTCGATGCGATCTCGCTGATAAATGTAATATCGATAACACGGTGGACACGTCGCGGCGTTTTCCAAATCGCATTTCCCCTAGAACTTTCCCTACTTTTTAGCCGGCCACCGTAGTCGATTAAATAAAACAAAATCACGTCCGTCGGAAATATATTTTTTATTCGTTTTTCCATCGAGCATTTCTCCTTTCTCTCTCTCTCTCTCTCTCTTCGATGCGTAGCGACAAACCTGTTTACGTTTGATAGATAAAAATTCACTGCGTTGTATCGTTCGAGCTTGCCGGGCGGATAAACTGTTTTCAATAGCGGCGGTACCACCGGCTTTAGAGAAACCGGGTCAGATTTGAGTTTCTTTTTTTAATGGACGCCAAGCGTCGATCCGGGCGCATACGTACACTAGGGGCCAGCATCTTGCATGGGATAATCGATACTCTGCTCTTTGCTCGTACTCGATTATCCACACCCTTATTTAAAGTAACAACTTCGGAAAACATGCATCGATCAATCCTTAATAATGAAGCCCTCGTGAGAAACGAGACGATCTCAACGTTAGTTGGTCAATATTTTCGAATTTGAGAAACGATCCAGTGGAATCTTTTGGACGGTCATCGAAGGCTCGAGCGTGGCTTCTGAATCGACTCGTAGAGACTTGACACAGAGTTGGGCCGCGGCTTAAAGTATCGTTAATTCAAAACAATTACGAGTTCCTGGCACGCGGCCTCTACGAAGTCCGCCGAGTCGTGCTCCGTCGTTCACAGCCTCTAGTTATGTAGTAGCGAGAGCATTAAGTGGCAGCTATAATTCAAGCGATCGCGTCCAGGAGCCTAGCAATTCGTATCCAGCTCCGTTATCGACGCGGTCGCACGCTCTTCTTTTTCACCGAATAAACAGGAAAGATAGAAACACAGCCGGATTCTACGGGAGAAATATTTATAGGCCATCTTGTAAAATATCTGTTCGCCTCGTACCGCCGCGTATTTGTTACAAATGATTTATCGTACGTCCCTGAAGAATCGTCGCGTTAATGAGCGCGGCAGGAATTGGTTCGCGAGTCATCGATTGTTCTACGTTTCTATTGGACCCTCTCGAAAATTTATGCATTGGATATATAAAATGATGGAACGTCGCGGGTGGTATGAATTACGAGCGTGCCTAGCGCCCGAAAGATTGAACGCAACTTCGTCACCGTCACCGATGCGTCACGTGGCGACGTCATATTTCACGATGTTCCAGTGCAATGTAAAATTCCTCCGAACCAGAAAGTGAGAGAGAAAGAGAGAGAGAGAGAGAGAGAGAGTCTCTTGTTAAGGATTAAAAGAAGGCTGGACGGATTTTCCAGGAGCAGAGATAACGCGGCCCTCGGCCTAATGAAAGGAACTCTATCTCTAAAACAGTCGTCATGAAACGCGAGATAATTCAGGCTGTCAGGCCTGGGTAGCGGAAACGGAACGGCGAGATACATCAGCGATTAGCGGAGTCCCGGGCAGAGCAGAAGACTCGCGGAGGAATTCACGTAGCGAGCATAAAGAAACGAAATAGGGCAGTTACTTAAATCGTAGACAAGTCGTCGGGACACGAGATTGGCCCCCGGACCCTCCGGTGATGTAGTGCCGCGTTTGCGAATGCAGCGAGCCCAGCGCATTTGCAGTTCCAACTAGGTTAGCGCTTAACCGTGTATCCGTCCTTCGTTTTTTCCCTCACCGTGAAGAACTGTGATTTTCGGAAACCGTCCCTTGAGCCACGTTTCAGAGACACGCTGCACCGGTTGCAAGAAATACCATTCGATGTTTTTATTATACACTATCGTTCGACGACGAGTCATTTTTTACTTACTTTGTATAAGAGGGTAAAAATCTTTTTCAAGGACGTGAAAACGCGCGAGGAAAAATGGGGGATTAAGATTTTCGTCGCGACGCGATTAACGTTTAACGCAGGGTAGATGCAAATGTTCTCATGATTTAAGTTACGGCGCCTCGGTTGCGAAATTGGTTTCAGACTACGTCTGCCGCGGGAAACTTTTGCGAATTATCGTTATTTCTTTCGCGCCTCGCGCGGCAAAATATGCTCCTGATGCGCCCTTCGGATGAACGATACCGTGCATATTTTATCGCCGTCCCGGGAGAGAAAGAGAGAGAGAGAGAGAGAGGAAAACAGAAAAGTTCGGCTCGAATTGACGCAGCTGCGCGATCCGCTCTCCCCTGTCCCGCGGATTATTGCTAAACAAATTCCTGAAAAACGGAATAAAAATCGTGCCGACCATTATTCGAAAACGGGACAGTAATCTGCGTGGGATTCAGACGTTCCGATCCGATTTTTTTCCCCTGTACAGTTTATTTGTTTTATGAAGATTTGTTAGAACTGCAAATGCGTTAGTAGGATTATTGAATTTACCGAAGCCACCTCCTCTCCCCCCGATGTACATACAGGCGTGCGTGTGATATCGTGAACTTTTTTCAACAGGATTTTCAACGCTAAGCCGTACAGTGCATCGGTCGAACGATCGTCCCTAAATTCTTTCGTAAAAAGAAAACGAAATTTATTTGCTCATATTGCTTATTATTATTATTATTCATACGGTACTGAAAAACTGTTGGCAAGTTTAGCGTTGAGGCGTTGAAATAATTCACGATTGCGAGTATATCACACGGTAAATTCTGTTCGGTTGGAAACTTCCTTAAATGTTGGTAATTTCGCGCGGGCATTGTCAGACACGGTAAACTTTCGAATGCGCTGGCCTCAGAACCAACATCGATCACGGGAGCATGGCAATTGGGGTCTATACCGCGCATGTAAAGCGCCCAGCTCGTCACTTTAGCTAATGTCATGTGCTGCGTTACATTGGCACCAATCGTAACGATGAACTTGGGACCGAAACAGCATTGAGAGCCACTTCACTTTTTCTCGGACCAATACAGTCAATTTAATATCGAGGATTTTATTATAGTAAAATTAATGTAAAAAAACTGTTAATTAAAATCTTCCTCGCGTTCTCTGCATAATTTTTAATCAGAAATAATTTTCTTCAATGATCGAGGACCGGTTGCGGGGGTGATCGATCAGTCGAAAATCTGAAGCTTCCCGTCCGCGCAAAAAATGACGATTTCTTGTTCTACTCCGGAACAGTAAGTTAGCCACTATCTCGAGTCGAGGAAAAACTTTCGCCCGGTGACAATGAGCGACGCAGGATGTTCGCCACGCTGTCCCTCGCGCGGCCAGCTGAGCTCTAACGGCGCGGAAAGCGTACGAGGAAATTTTTCCGCGCGAAATTCGGCCATCGTTTGGTGATATCCCGGGGTTTCCATCGATCATCGGGTTTATCCGGTTGACTAGGGGCCGATTTCCCCCGCGCCAGTCTCTCGCGTATGAACTTCGAACGTGGTGACAGATTCCCTTTGGGAAAGTTTCGAGACGCGCGGGGTATCCTTTGAAAATTGAATCGAGTCGCGCTCCAGTCGTTCGACGCCCGTTACGTAAATGCCTTGTTCCGAGGATCAATGACTCGAACACACCCTGAACTTCCGTTAATAGTTCCCCGACCGATGACAATGATGTGAACTATTAATTAACGTTGCGTAACTCCGATCGACCCAGTTTCTTAAATAGACTATTTTTTTATTCACTCGGAGTGAAACGAGGCTTTCCAACGATGGTAAAATAATTTTACTAGAATGGTTTTTAAAAAACACAGCTGGCTGTTTCGAGCTTAACGAGCACCGTCGTCGCGGATTCTTTAACAATGTTTATAAAAATATTTCCGCTAAGTACTCGCCCGATTACGTCGTTACTTCTTTCTATAGGAGAATATGTGCTATTTCCAACAACGGCCGCCGCGCCGTCACGCGTTTATGGTTAGAGAGTAAAATAGGTATATACACTTTATAAGTTGAAAGCGTACCTTTTGTGCCGAAGAATAAAAAGCATCGTTTACGTCATATATCGGACGGCATATACGGATAACGACACGTTTTGAATTATTCGAATAAAACAAATCGAAATGAGATAACGCAAGTATTACAAGAGGACGTGTTTATCTTTGAGTTCCGGCG